CCTGTGTCATGCTCCATGAGCCATTCTTTTGTTCTGCTCCTAGAACCTCCGAGGCTGCACGGGCTGTCCTGTGTGTCTCCCCACCTCTCCTTGCTCACACTCACCGGCCCTCAGCTTTCAGTCTTTCAGACTCCATGGGAAGGGGCTGAAGGGTCCCTCCCCTGCAGCACGAGAGGGGTGCTCCCCCCCCAGGAATTGCCCTGTGTCAGCTGCTGGCCACCCTAACCGGCCCCCACCACTGAGGCCGATCTTGCTCTGTCTCTTCCCTACGTGAGCCAAGTGTCCCATCCAGCATCTGACCATGCTGTGTTTTCCTGGGTAACTCCAGGACGAAGATGCCGTGGGCAGAAGTGCCCGGAGCCCTCGCTGGGATGGGTAACATGGGGTTCTGCTCCATGATCTCCGTGGTGGAATTAATGGTTCTCCACTAGGATGTCGTACAGACGTTTAACTTAACATGTCCAAAATGGAGTTCTGCTCAATGACCCCCACACAGGTTGCTTGAAAACAAACCTACACTCGTCGCTCAGTCTTCACTATCTCTATAAATGACACCATGCGCCCCAACATTCAAGCGGAGTCGGGGAGCCCTGACTGTTCTTCCATGCGCCCCCCCGGACTTCAGTAGCCCCCAAGTGGTTTCCCGGCTCCCTTCCTGCCGCCCGCCCCAGCGCACTGTCCAATTACCATGCCCCTCTCCGTACACCTGTTTACTGTGCTCCAACTACAGTCCCGCCTCCCGCCTGGCCTCCAAGGCTGCACGGGCTGGCTGTGTGCCTCCCCACCTCTCCTGGCTCACGCTCAGCTCCACCTGCTCCAGCAGCAAGGCTCTGTTTACACTTTCTTTTTCCGTTTCCTCAAACATGCCAAGTTCTTCCCTTCCTTAGGGCCTCTTTGCACGTGTTACTCCCTCTTCCTGGGACAGCATCTTTCCCCTGCCACCCACCCCACCCCACCCCACCCCACTCATCACATGACCAGACCCTGCACACCCTTCCACATCTCTGCATCCCCGTGACCACCTCAGAGAGGCCCTCCCATGTTCCTGCCCTGCATCGTATAGATTCTCAGCCCCTGATTAGATCCCTTCAAGGCCCTGAGCACAAACCCCCATTTCTTTACCTTTCCATTTGCCTCTCTGTTTTGCTTGTTTCCATCTTAGCAGGTGAGCCCCACGAGGTTGGGCCGTGTCTCTTAGATTCAGCCTGAATCTCTAGCACCTGGCACAACCTTTTGTGCATAGCTGGTGTTCAATGAAAATTGGATGAATGAATGAATAAAGGTTAAAAAAAGGGGGGGGGCAGGGAGTGGCTGCCAAAAACAATTCTTTTTTTCCCAGAATGGGAGTAAGGAAAAAAGTTATTTATTTCTCTCAAGTTTTTTCTTTGGTTACCAATGTTGTCAAAGCAACAAGGTCTGTGGCAATGGTTCTCCCAAGGCAGAATGCTTCAGATCTTAAAAACATGCCCTTCCAAGAAAGAAAGAAGAAAAGGGAAATAACCCGGGGAGCCAAAAGGCTGTTTTCCATTTTGGAGCTCTGGAGCCTACCTCTGCCCACAGGGCTTTTTAATGGCAGGATTATGTGCAATTTCCTTTTATGCCAAGTTGGGTTCATCACCCTCTTTCTGAACAGCTGCCTGGGGATGGGGTGAGGGGCAAGCATTGAAGAGCTGCTAAATCTTTCACTGTCACTGACATTTTGGGTCTTGAAACGGATCCCCTGTGATTAAGAAGATTCTTTTCCCTCTGTGGTCACAACACAATGACCACAAGACTGCGGATATGGAAAATGAATCAGATGCATGCGTAGCTAAGATTCTAGGCCACTCTGAGGTGTGTGTGTGTGTGTGGAGGTCACTGGATTGTTGAACCCCAGCTCATGTCCCTCCACACTGTTAACGCTGTTACAAGAGGTCCCCAAACAGCAGATTGAAGCTCTCCTTCTCCCTCCTGACAAGCTTGGGTGGCATCTCTTTGAGGCTCTTACTGGAGACACAACATCCATTAGTCAAATTCCTGCTGAGGACGGAAGTGTCCACGCAGGCACCATCCACGAACCTGGGGAGAGGTCATGTGCCCGTAGGTGGTTGAGCCCCTGGGCTGTGACATATCAGAGGTTTTGGTTTTTGTTTTTCCCGTCACCACCCCAGGGTGAACTCCCATGCCTCATTTACATTTAAAGAGATGACACATATCCATCTGAGATCTCCCTGTGGACTGGCCACAGCCTTGTACCCTGAGCCAATCTTCCCCGGGGTTTAGATAGTGAATGTGGCCCCAGTAGATGTCCAGGGTGGGCTGCGCCAAGCAGTCAGGCAGGGGAGTCAGGGAAGAAGGACACATGGCCAGGAAGGAGGCCGAGGAGGAGGGGAGACAAAGAACACACCGCAAATCTGGAATGAGGTGGTAAGTTCAAGGGCGAGAGTCAGGAAGTGCCCCACGTTGGACAATGAGGAAGGCCAGGAGACCTGCTGGCCATACTTGGCGTTGGTCCTTCAGGAAAAGTCTGCTCTCCACATCTTAGGAAAGGAGACTGCTCAGTGGGGCTGGGTGCCCTGATCTTTGTAAGGGCTAGCCTGGCCTTCCCAAAATGTCCCTGCAGGTGGAGGTGAGCATGTGCAGTAAGTCTCACCTAGCCAGGGTGGACACACACTCAGGACATGGCCCTACTGTGGGCTCGCTGCAGGCAGCATTCTGATTGGTGAGGGCCCAAAGTGCATCAGCGCTTCAAAATTCTCAATATCTTCTCCTTCTGGCAGTGGCAAGAACCAGCAATGTGGTGTTTCTCAAGGTTTAGTTAACGTCAGAATCACACTGAAAATGTAGATTGCGAAAGTCTCATCTGTAAAGATCTCACCCAACACAATAGGTCTTTTGAGGCCTCAGAACCTGCCTTTCACAAGCTTTCTTGGTGACTCTGGAGCACCTGAAAGTTTGAGAACCACGGCACACAAAGCACGATAGGGTAGGACCCTCTTTTCCACGGAGGGGGTCCTGCGGCAGGGAGGCAAGGCGCTGATATATACCTAATGCATGCAGGCTCAAGAGGGAAGCTGGCAGACGTGCCCAGGATCCTCTGGGGAGGCGTCCTAGTCAGCTGCTAAGATGGAGCTGGAGCATTTTGGGTTCCTACCCTTGTTGAGCCCCTCTGCGTTCCTTTGGTCAAGCCATCCCTTGTGACTATGTTCCTGAGCCTCTGATGTTTCTTACTCGTTTGCCTAAAAATGCATGCTTTCAGTTAGCTCCTCTGATGAACTCATCTTTTCATTGAAAGCACATCGTGCTCACTGTAAATGCATATCACTACTGAGGACAGACTACATGGACAATACCCGAGCAAGACAGAAAACAGCACATGGGCAAAACGTGTTTCTGTGCACAGCCCTGCTTGGAGAGTGGGCTGGGGCAGCCCGTCTGAAGAGCAGCATGCCACGCTTGGTTCAAAGGAAGTGGGCATATGGCCAGGTGCCCCTAACTCCAAACCCAGAGAGACAGTCCCGGAGACAAAGAGGGGAGATCAGAAGACCTTGCCAGCGCCATTTTTGGTGGTAGGGAGTTGACCGCCATCTGGGGGGCCATGATCCGGGGCGTGGCCAGGTAAGCTGCAGGGGGCACCCCATAGAGGATGATGCGGCCATCGGAGCACCTGAGTGCTGTGAGAAAGAAGTCAACTGGGGTCCGTAACTCAATCTGTAAGTTAAAAATACAGACTTCCAAAGCAATGACCATGAGATGCCATTGTGTTCCCACCTCTGCTGCCATAGTTTGTCACCTATAAGGTGCTTACCCTGGCTGGAGATTTTTCCGGGTCAAGGGAAAATCGAGATACTGGCATTTCCCCTGGCATATTTGCCGCTTACATGGCTTGTATTTCCTGGCTGGTTCCCAGCTAGGTCTGAGAGCTGGTACCTGCAATCAACCTTCAAACCATTGTTTTTCCCAAGAGATGGGAAACAGAAGTCTAAATCCATGAATGTGGTTCTGGCTGCCAGGTCTGCACATGTCAGTCCACACAATCTCTCTTTAGAGATGACATATTTTCTTTTTTTTATTAGAGAGAGAGGAGGGGAGAGCGGCAGAGGGGGGGGGGGAGAGAATCTTGAGCAGGCTCCACGCTAAGTGCGGAGCCCAATGCAGGGCTTGATCTCACAACCCGAGATCATGACCTGAGCCGAAATCAAGAGTTGGACACTTAACCGACTGAACCACCCAGGCACCCTGAGATGATATATTTTCTAATGTTCTGTTATGTTTTCAAGTTCTTTATGCATTCAAGTCCTCTCCACACTGCTCCTGACAACGTACTTACTTATGTAACACTTGCATTTCCCTTTCAACTCTTGGGCTAAAATCATGAACATTCTGCCCCAGCAGACGTCCTGTGAGCCCTGCTCTAAAGATGACTGGTATCCATGACTTTCTGACCATAGACTTTTGAAAAGCCTCTTCTGATAGAGAATGCCAAGTCTGATTTTCCTCTACATTAAGAAAGTACTGCTGTTGAGCCGAGCACAGAGAGAAGAGAAACCTTTTCATGTCCACTCCCCATTCCAGTGGTCTCTCCTGGATCCTGTCTACACCAAGTCCCAAAGCAGACACAAAAAACACCTGGGAACTTCCTTAACCCTACAGGTCATCAGCCGCCTTTCGAACTACAGCCCCAGAACATGGTAAGAGCCCACCACCAGTGTCCAGAGCAGAGGAGCACAGACTCTGGGGTCAGAGTGTCTGGGAGTGAATCAGCTTAGCCTGCTCCCCAGCTCGATGGTCTGGGGCAAGTTCCTCCATCTCTCCATGCCTTGATTTCCCCATATGCAAAAACAAGACTAAATTGGTGAGAGGGTTTGGCAGAGCTCATGCAGGCCAGCCCAGGCCTGGCCCGGAGGTGAGTCATCAGACATGCGGGTCACTATCCTGCAGCTGAGGAATGGTGGATGAATCAGGCAGAAAGTGTCCCGCAGAATGACCCTTTCTATCCAGCAGAGAAGGAGGGTCTGTACCTCTACAGTGGGGCTGCTCCCCCGTCCAGGTGCCATTGGGAAGACACACCACGCTGGTGGGCCCAACCAGCCGGAACCCAGGGTTGCAGGTAAAATGGACTTCGTGATCCACTAAGTACTTGCTTCCAAACTTTCTGCCATCCGGGGGGGCATTCAGAGCAGGGCAGGACACTGTAAGGACAAAAACGAAGGACTACGGTCATTTAACATCTCTCTCAGTTACAAGGCTTCTCATCTCTGAGTGCTCCTGTGATGAGTGCCTCCTCCAGGCTATGCATGGGGCTGGACATTTTTAATGCTATGACTCATGGAATCCTCAGAGCACTCCTGGGCATGGGTAATATGTGCCCACAAGTGAAAGCTGAGCTGGCGCCTCAGAGACACTGAGGGTTGGGTGCAGGGCCTGGCAGTGTGGGAGGGTCAGAGCTGGGGACCTCCCCTCCACCGGGTGCAGCAGGCCCACCTACTCCCGCCTCCCAGAAGGTCTAGCCCTGCTGGGTTTCTTAGGCCTTCTGAACAGGCCAGGGTCAGGCCCATCTCTAGGCCTTGGCTTTTGCTCTTTTCTTGGCCTGGAATGTTCTTTCGCCAGAACGTCCCCTCTCTGGCTCCTTCTCATTCTTCAGGTCTCAACTCGAATGCTACCACCTCCCAGAGTGTTGTCTGGCCACCTCGCTTAGCTTAAACCTCCCCAGGCACTCTCTACCCCTTCAGCTCACTTTGCTTTCTTCTTAGCATGTGTAATTATTGGAGTTGTCTTCTTGACATATTTGTTTCCATGTTTGTTGTCAGTGTTCTCCCCCCAAAGGCACTCAAGAGGGCAGGGACTTCACCTAACCTCGCATCCCTGATGTGGCCCCAGCACCAGCCCAGTGCCTGGCACACAGTGAGTGCCCAATAAATAATTCTTGAACAAATGAACAAATGAAAAATTTTGTATTGAGTGGCTTACCATGAGCCAGGCACTAGATTAGGTGCTTGGGACAGTGAACAAAACAGACAAAACTCAGCTCTCAGGAAGCCCCCTTCTAACAGGAACGCCGCCCACCAATAACGAAGATCCATAAGCAGGTGGCAGAGTGTGCTAAGAAGTGGTAAGTGTCGTGCAGAAGATAAGGTAGGGAGTAGTGTTGGGGAGGCGAGGGGAGGGGGTCCATTTTGCATGTGGTCAGGGTAAGCCTCATGGGGGCAGAGTTGAAGAAATGAAGGCATAAGCATGCAGATATCTGGGAAGGGCAGAGGGAACAAGCTGGTGCAAAGGCCCTGTGGTGGGAGTGTGCCTGGCAGGTCTGAGGAATGTCAAGGGTAGCACAGTGGCTGTAGTAGAGTGGACTAGCTGGAAAGCAGTTGGGGATTAAGTCAGAGAGGCATCAGGGAGCCAGACAGGGTTTGAGCCGAGGCATGAAGCAGCCGACTTCCATGGTCACAGCACCAGCCAGCTGCAGTCTGAGCATGAAGTGTCAGGTGTGAGGCAGGAAGGAGAGGAGGCAGAAGCCAGAGATGAAGGTGGTGTGGACAAGGGCAGGAGCTGGGAGCGGAGACGGGCGGCTGAAAAGCTGGCTGTGCCATGAAGGCAGAGTGGAGCGGACTTCCCGATGTGCGCTGTGGGCCACGGGGAGACAGAGAGCCTCCCCACTGCTCCTCTCCCTGCGGCTGGCTGCCTCCCACGGCCAGCACTTGTTGAATCAAAGTCCCACAGGTGGGACAGGTTGGATTTGGATTTTGTTTAGTTGGAAATTCACAGCCACTTCTAAGATGCCTTTTTTTTTTTTTTAAGATTTTATTTATTTATTTGAGAGAGAGAGCACAAGTGAGAGAGGAAGCACGAGCGGGCGGGGTGGGGACAGGAGCAGAGGGAGAGGGAGAAGCAGACTCCCTGCAGAGCAGGGAGCCCGATGCGGGGCTCGATCCCGGGACCCTGGGATCATGACCTGAGCCGAAGGCAGACGCTTAACTGACCGAGCCACCCAGGCACCCCTACAATGCTTTAAAGTAAGTTGCAAGTGTCATTTGTGAAAATGCTCTTCCAGTTTTAGACAGATGGGAAAGAGGTGTTGCTTCGGCTGTGACAGTTACAGTGAGTGACAGAGTCACTCAGTGTCTGCCATGCTGGGAACATCTGTGCACATGGTGATCGGGAGGCGTCTGGGACCCTGACGGGCCGCCCCGTCCCAGAAGGCAGCAGGCAGGCCCTGCTCTGCCCACAAATCCCACCCGCGTCCTGCAGAGCAGCCTCGGCAGGCGGGCCTGGGCGGCCGGGCACGAGCCGACCCCTCCGAGTACTCGCAGTGCCCTCTGGTTACCGGGGGACCATGGCTACGCCCCTTTCCCTTAGTAAAGCTTCGACGCGGCCCCCAGTGGTAATCACTTTGTGAGATGGAAGCGACCGTGAGCTCACATCCCCGTGCGTGGCTGCTCCCAGGCTGCCGGCTCAGACCCTGCAAATAAACGCCTTTATAGCTCTTTTAAAATATCAACTACTTTATTGTGCTGAAAGGGATTTTAGATGCCCTGGGGGGAAAGGAGTAGGGTCTCTTTGGGGATGAGAAATCTTTAAAATCTTCCAAAAAGAAATTCTACCTGCTGGAGCAACTCACAGGTGAATCATACCTGAGGAAATGCAACAGCATCGGGCACACAGTAGGTGCTCAGTAAATGTTAGTGGGTTTAATAAATGGGCAGAGATCAATGAAAAATCAATTTGCAGTCACTTCTCAGATGGGAGCCACAGGCCTCTGTCCAGTGGAAGGACGTGCCCCTTGGCTGGTTCACGATGAGCACAACGTGGTGAGGCTCCAGGGCCACGGGGAAGCTCCCCGCACCGTCTGGAGTGAGGTTACTGTGTAGGGCACGAGCTCAGCAGTGAAGCAATCCTAGAGATTCGGGAACACGAATGGAATCAGGCTGCCTGCAGAAGCCCTGACGCTGATCGGGTGTGATGTTCCCCAGAGAGAAAGGCTGGGAAAATAGGAGGGTGATTCTTAGAAGCCAGAAAGAGGAAGGCCAAGAATTCTCCAGGACTAGAAATGATTCTTCCTGACTCCCAGCAAATGCCCTTTAAAAAAAAAAAAGTAAATGATCATTTCCCTATAACCTGCAAGCTTCCTGGCTCCTCCAGGTACAGGCCCAGCAGCCCCAGCCCCGGCCCTGCGGTGGGGACCCTGACAGCTGCTTGCCTCCATGTCCAACACATGGGAGAGAAAGATGCACCGTGGCAGTACCTAAAAAGAGAATTGGCCACTTTAAAAAGTCTTGTATGGTTCAAGGAAGAAAGACCCTGAATCTGGCACTAAGAGGATCAGCAATGTAACAGGAACTACCTGTCTGTCTATTCTAGCGGACAGAGGCCTCTAACACAGGCAGGGGAGTTTTTTTTTGTTTTTTTGTTTTTGTTTTTTTTTTTACAGGCAGGGCAGTTTTATGAATGATCTCTTGCGAGTCCTTCTTCGAAGCTCCCAGGGACCATAGGAGCTGTGATCCTAGGAAAGCAGAAAGGCTCTGTGCCGTTGAGCCTCTAGCAGGAAAGAAAAATCAGATCTGGTACCTAGTACTGCTAACTCACTTCTCTTGGCCTCAGTTTCCTCATCTGTAGCACAAAGGAAGGATGCCCGGTCTGCCTCTCGGAATCTGGCTGCGGTGAGCCCCCCTGAAGGCTGGGGCCTCACGGTGCCTTGGAAAGTGTGAGGACTCTGGCGGGTAGGTCTAGCTCTGCACCTGGGCAGCCAAGAAAAACAGCAGCTGATGACCTGGTGCTGGTGAGACTCGGGATCTGCTACCACACTCTCTGAAGAGGTAGGAAATCCAACGCCTTCCCTGGAAACTTCATCTCACACGACAGAGGGCCCTTGATAAATGTGTCTTGAGTGAGTAAATGACATCAGATATTCCCTAGGTTCATGACTTCGAACAAACATGACAACTGCCCCCCTGCCCGCTGTCGCCCTGAGGGGAGGCCGCCTGGAAGCCAGGTGGAAGAAATCCAGTCCCCCATCCAGTGGCCCCACAGCGAAAGTTGTATCTGCAACCACCAGGAAAATGGCCAGTGTCTGTCAGAGTCCTACCCGCCGGGAGGGCATCTGGGGGACCCCCTGGAACCTCACCAAACGGAATTGCCCTTAGCAGCAACCCCCACCCCAGCACCACCAATGGGGGACTCTCGTCAGAGGACTGACTGTCATGCCTGAGAAGCTGCTGCCGGTGTTTTGTGGGCTGCTGCAGGCTTGCCACACGGGTGCTGGACGGTGGTGGAGGGGAGGCTGGGTGTGTGTCCGGGGCGGGAGCTCTCTGTGCTTTCCTTTCAGTTTTGCTGTGAACTTAAAACTGCTAGAAAAAGATTGTCTATAAAATTTTTAAAAAGGGGGGGCCCTGGGTGGCTCAGGTAGTTAAGCGTCTGCCTTCGGCTCAGGTCATGATCCCAGGGTCCTGCGATCGAGTCCCGCATTGGGCTCCGTGCTCGGT